ACTTCAGTCGTTGTTTTCATCCTCAGTGAACTGGATCTTTCCTTGCATAGCAGAATAAGCGGTGACTTTTCTTGAAATAATTCATTTTATTGAGAGACAGAAATGTCCTGAGCAACATCTGGAATGGTCTCAGATGAACTAATAAGTGGTGAAAAAGCTTTGTAGAAGAATAATTCAATTTGTTTCATTTACTTATTTGGAATACCTTCTGTTTATGCTCTTTTCTCATCCTTACAGGTGAAGTCTAATTGGGATTTTTAGAGCAGAGTATTCCTGTTGAGTTCAGTGGCTTTACTCATTCATGGCACATCCAAGCCTCTAACCTTGATCAGAACATTTTTTACTAGTAACTCAGTGCTGCTTGCCTGCTTTGTTTTTCTTTTTGTGCCATGGCTCATCTCTGTTTAGCATAACTGCATACTGGCAGCTGAGTTGCAAGCAGATTACATCTCGTTTGGTTTATTTTTCTTAATGTAATTTTCTGTTTTACTTTTTTGTTTGTTTGTGTGTCCTTTAAGCAAATCAATACACACACGCCCTCACGTGCACATACATTTAACTGCCTTATCTGCCTTTATCTTTATCTGCCTTTATCTGTTTAGCAGTAGCATCTGGAGCCTCCTGGCTCCAAGGGCTCCATAACTGTGCTGTGGCCGCACAGGCTTCCCAGAGGCGACCCAACCTCGACAGGGTCTGACCCCTTCCAGTGCTTTGACAGCACCTGCGCTCCATTTCCTAATGTTTCACCAATGCTAGTTTTAGTATGGCTGCTGGGAGCTGGTTCTTAGCTCCATCTGGAAGCCTGTTTCATAGATTTTTTAGTCTACTGCTAACTTCCCCTTCCCTTAAACTTACCTTCCTGCCCTCTACTCACACACACGCACTTTGAAAACTGCTGGTGCTTCTTGCATTCTAGGGAACCTCGATTTGCATTGTAGATCTTACCCATGCATCTGCAACAATCATTTCAGCTATCACTGGTATGTAGTCTTTGGGGAAATTGAAATTAGGCTTATCCACAGAACACTATTTAGAAATCGTGCAGTTTACCATTTCAAAAGGAATTTTGGTTGTTGCAGATTTTTGTTTTGTTTTTCCCCCCATCCCCTCTCTGCTGCTGTGACACTTTTGTATGGATTAATAACCTATTTTTTTGTTTTATTCTTCCAAAAGACATTGCTGATCAAACACCTTTAATGTGAAATCAGGGTTTGGTACATATGATGTTAGCAGTCCAGAGGGGGAAACTTAAGAATACTGTGGTCTGCATTCAAATTCATGGGGAATACCCGTGCTGGGTGGATGGCAAACACTTGTCAGACTGCTCTTGCTTTGCAGGCTCCTGAAGACCAAAATCCTTGCTTTGTCTTCTGCACTTCTCCAGTTCCCAGCAAGTACCAGCCAGGGAGTTTATTTTTAGATGCAGTTCTTTCCTGCAGCAAGTCTGCTGAGGAGGGACTTGTTCGGCTGTGTTAGGTGCAAGTGTAACAACTGGAAAAGTGCTTCAGGCCCATCTCATGGAGCAGTTGTCACCCCCACAACACACGCGCCACGCAGGGTCACTGCTGGGGTTGACAGGGCAGGTTCTCTGCTACTGGCCACAAGCACGGGTAGTTCTTCCCAGTTAAGCAGAGCCAATGCAAAAATGTAACTGTTAAGAACGTTTATATCAACTCAGTGGATATATGTGTGTGTGCTTAATTGTTTTAGTTTTGTCATTGGTTTTTGTTTTGTTTTTTTTTCTTTCTGAGACAAGATCTTAATTCTGCAGGGGCTTATTGTCAGGAAATACAACAGAGCAAGTACATCAAAGATAGATTATACTAAAGTTTGTCTCTTGCTCCATTAATAAGCTGATTTTATTGTCATCTTTTGCCTAATAAATACGACTTGTGTAAGTAAGTTAATTTTGTTGTAATTAGGATCAAATTTGGCAGTAATTGAGTTCAGTGTTCTTTTTTGTTGTTGTTGTTTTTGTTGTTGAAACAAGAACAAGAGACTAACAGAGCTTCCAAAGTGCCCTAACAGAGGTAGCAGCAAAGCAGCCTTTTCTTCTTCCAGGCTTTTTGGCACAGCTGGTGGAAAATACAAACAGTTAGCACATTGTTATCGTGGCATTGTCCTTGCCTCAAGGCTCCTGTGTATACATATGTATGTGCAAAGCACAGAGTTGAGCACCCGTTTAATACTGTGGGTAGAAAGCCCAAGTGTTTCCGATATGAAATCTCACAGGGATTTCCTTCTGAGTCACGGTTCTGGCTGGGTTCCCCAGGAGATGCAGCATCACCTTTGGTTGAGCTGCCCCTCGACGCTCAGTGGCCACTATAAAATGGAGTTTCTATAAGCAGAGCCCTCAAGAGAGACTGCTCAATCTCTAGATCTTTGTTTACAGCCGTGTTAAAGAGCAGCTGTCTGTGTAGGAGACAAAACCTCTGCGTGATGGCCTGTTTGTTTCCGAGGCCGTGGTTGCAAGGGCTTCAAGCACATCCACCACTTGAGCCTTTCTACCTTGCAGGTCGTGCTTTTGTCCTCCTTAGTAGGCAGGATCATAGAGTCATAGAATCATTATGGTAGGAAAAGACCTTTAAGATCAAGTCCAGCTGTAAACCCACCATGTTCGTGCCTCATCCACATGTTTCATGAACACTGCCAAGGACAGTGACACTACCACTTCCCTGAGCAGCCTATTCGAATGCTTGAGTACTCTCTCAGTATCTAACATCTCTGTATTTCTCTATCTAACCTGGAGCTCCCCTGGCACAACCTGAGGTCTCTTGTGTCCTCTTGTCCTATCGGTAGTTATTCTGGAGAAGAGACTGACCCCTACCTCACTACAGCCTCCTTTCAGGTAGTTGTAGAGAGCGGTAAGGTCTCCCCTGAGCCTCCTCTTCTCCAGACTAAACAACCTCCCTCAGCTGCTCCTCTTAAGGTTTGCGCTCCAGCCACTTCACCAGCTTTGTTGCCCTTCTTTTGACATGCTCCAGCACATCAATGTCCTTTTTGTTGTGAAACAGATTCAAAATAAAATTATATTTTTATTCAAATAAAAGCACTATCTCATCATAGAGAGTAATTTTGATGGTTTGCATGACCAGGATTACATATTTTAAATAACCTTCCCTCATCCCTTCTTGCTCTGGAGAAGACATACAAAATAAGCAAGCTAGGAGAAGGGGAATGGGGAGGGAATCTGCATATTCTCCTTAGGCTCAGTATTTTGCTTGGAGTCTAATAAACGTAGGTGCTCGGGCCTTGAGCTGGGGGAGGTCTTTGGGACTTTCAAGTTGGACAGAAGAACAGGGTCCTGATGCTTGCCCAGTGCCTCCCGTGGCAGGCATTGAGTGGAGCCCATGGCGCTGGAAGGGGCAGCGTGGGGAAGGAGAGAGGTGGAAACACTGAGGTGCAGCACTGCTTCCGTGCCTTGCTTGCCTCCAGGAGGGCTACCCCGGTGTAGCTGTGATCTCCTTCCCCGCCTTTCCCAGGTCGGAGCTCCCCCACGGGCAGTTGTTGGGATCAGGACAAGCTTTGGAGAGGAGAGGTGGGCGGTTGGGAGGCCCCAGGGCAGCCTGGGGGTGTTTCCCTCTGGCATTGCACTCCTGCCTGAATGTATCCATGGCCCTGGCCATGCTCCTCAGGGGTCTGCTGTAGCTGAAGACGTCCTGCCTCCCTGTCAGCACAGGGAGCCCCTCTGCCCACGCGCAAAACAGCGGGTTTGTTACCTGCTGGGCCTCTCACCCCACTGGAGGCCGGAGCTTGTGTCACTTGGCATATTTAGTGACCTGACATATTCAGTGAGCGCAGGCTTGTTGCCCGAGCGCATACATGTGTAATTGTCCGTGCAGCCGGCCGATTGATTTCTTTTCAGCTTTGGATACAAATATGGGAGCACAATTAAGCAGCTGGGCCCACTTTCCAAAGCCAGGTGCTTAACTAAAGGCAGGCGCTGAGCGTACTGTGAAGTAAAACCCCTTAGAAGAGATGGAGTCAGCTGCGATAACCTCCTTCTATCTTTGACTCTGTCAATCTGAATCTGACCATTTCCAGCTAAGAGGAAAGTCTGTCACATACTGAAGCTTCTGTGTCACCATGGTCCCTTTCCTGCTTCGGGTGCCGCGCGAGTCCTTGGTGTGGGAAGTGGCCGTTGCCATAGAAATTGCGCGGCCATCGCTGCTGGCGAATGTGCCGGCTTCAGCCTCAGTGAAGCTGCTCCTCATACTTCCAAAGGCTGCGGCTGGACCGTATTTAAAACTGTTCTCTTCTGTAAAAAATACTAATTGGAATTGCATTTGTGGAGGAAAGTTTAAGTAATGGGGATTTGGGGCAGTTGCAGTTTTCCACTACTGCAAAAATCATGATGGAGAATTCAAAGGCATATCTTCCTGTTATGTGGACTCATATATAATAATATTACTATAGACTTATGGATACAGGAATAAGTAAGCACAAGGTATATCTATGTTCATTATAGTGGCATGAATGTTAGCAGATATAAGTACTAGAAAATCATTTATTTCCTGTTTGTTCTATTCATTTTTCTCAGTTTTATTAAAGAGTGGAGAGCAACTCCATGGATTTTCCTTCCCTTTTGAAGTTAGTCTGAGAATGCTATTAAATGTGCAAATAGTAGCACAAATAGTAGGAAATAGTTCTCTGTCTCCCCTGGAAGCTGCCAGCTTGTGAAGAATGGGTTATCAGGTAGCATTGACCTCGTAATTGTCGTTGGAAAGAAATAAAACCCCAAATACTTCATGCTTCTTATCTGCACTGTTTGTTTACTGTGGAATAAAACACAGTAATACTGTGGCACCAGGCTTGGGGGATTCCTCTACATCCATGTTTAGTCTCCGTGGGGGTCAACCTGAAACAACCAGACTCGTCCAAAATGTTAATGTTGAGTTGATATCCCCCACCACGTAGGCATGGATTCTCATATGATGCAATTTTACTTTGAGTGGCAAACACTCCTTAATGTCCTTTTTTTAACCTCTATTCCTGTCCAGATGTCGCTCTTATGAGGATTGCTGTGGTTCAAGATGCTGTGTAAGAGCTCTGTCTATCCAGCGACTATGGTATTTTTGGTATGTGGCAACATTTCGGAATTTTATGTTCATGCTGTCCAGTTCATGTCCTGTTTATAGGATTTGAAGCAAGGTATTCTCTTACCAAGTAAAATAGAGGAGGTGCGAGTAAGTGGTAACATGTGGGTACAGGTAAAATGCAGGACTTTGGATTTTACCACATAAAAACCTCCTGATGCCCAACTATCCAACATTCAGGAAAAAAAAAAAAAACAGTGGAAAAAGAGATTTCTCACCTCTAACTTTAGTAATTTTACTCAGTTCCTCATACCTGATGCAGCTACTCCCGAGTGGCAACACTGCCCATTTTTGCAGGCCCTCCATTTTGAGAGAGGATTGTGTAAGGAGGATTGTCCATTTATGCAGAGTTTCAGGCAGTATTGCCACATGGATTGAGGCTTCAATTAAAAAGGAAGTGAACGTCTGTGACTACAGGGATTTTACCGGAGATGATGGGAAAAGAAGGCAGAAAGATTTGAGCTCGTGAAACCGGCAGCTCAGTAATCTGGATAAAGCTTAAACTAATCACTTTTTTATGTATAATGAAAAAATAAGGTAAATTCTTTTTAGAATGGAATTTTAGAAAGCATCTGGATAAAACCTCATTATTAGAGAAAGCAAAAGCTGTTCTAGAAGACCTGATTTTAGGTATTTTTAAGTAGAATTTAGAGTCTTGTTGTTTTTTAAATTCAAAATTGGGATGAATAAACACTGAAAAACAGAAGCCTTATGCGCACTGTAATACAGAGATTTCTCAAAGCTGGCTGTGGGATTTTGATGTACAATCCTTACTGATATAACTAGGAGTTCTGCGTCTGAATCCCTAGGGTGACGTTGTAAATCTCTGTTTTTCTGTTCAGAACAAATCCCTTCCAGGAACACTGCCAAAAAGGAATGTATTAATTTTGGCTTAGAGAAACAGGACCTCATTCTGCTCTCATTTCCACTGTTGAAACACGAACAGAATTTTGACCCTTTACATAAAATATATCCTGGCCTTGCAGTGTCACTTTGCCCATCTCAGTCATCTGGGATGCTCCCGAAGAAAGCGGCATTGCGTGCAGGCTTCCCTGGCCAGCTTTGGTGGAGAGGAAAATACCCTCTTGCCTCCAGTGCTTCCAGAGGATCCCAGTTGATCCTTGTCCTGCAGGAAAGGGCCCTGAGAGCCAAGAAAGAGGGGAGCGTGATAGACGGAAGAGCCATTGGCACCAGGCAAGACAATGCCAGCATCCCAGCAAGATTTACAAGTGCTTGCATCAGTCACTACCATGTCTGATATCTAATGATGTGCAAACAGTAGGAAATACTTGTTAAGTGCAAAAATTTCCTGACATCCTCGCTGCAGGTGTGTGTCTGCGCTGAACCAGTGCAAGGACATGGGGAAGGAAGTTGAGTCAGGTTGGAATAGGGTCTGAAAGGAAAAAAAATGCTGCAACACAATGATGTTGTTGAGAATGTGTGTGTCCTGTCTGGAGAGCACAAAGCAAAACCTGTGGTCTTCTGGCTGAAGTTTAAATGTCAGCTATAACATTTCCCATAGGAGACAGAATTAGTGCTATTCATCTAAGAACATGCAGCCGCCTCGAATGATAGAAGGCTGCTGTCCAGCAGCAACCTCTTTGAGAAACTGTGCTAAAAATCATCGCAAGGTTGCTGATCACCTGTTGGAGCTTCTCATGAGGAGCTGCCTCGGGTTGAGGATGTCCGAAGGCAGCAGGGCTTGACTTCCCTTTCCTCTCTGCCTAGG